CCTGCTACTAATCGATCGAACTGGCCACCCATTAGATCCGGATTCACGTTAACATGTTCCTCACCTTCAAATACACCGGGCAACCACCCCTTTACACTCCCTCCGCCCTTCCCAATCCATCATACTGAACCATCCGTCTCTAAAGATGCTTCCAACACTGTTTTCGTGACACTGCATTCATAAATCATTGCTGATCCCAAATGGTAGAATGAATTACCAAATTTCTCCGCTACCAACGATCTCTCAATATACCTCCCAAATATATCTAAAAACTCTTTTTTTTTTTTGGTGGGGGGTGTGTTTTATTGACTTCGTATGATTTAATGCTTGACATTCCAATGATTTTTTTTTTAACCCCGCTCGCCCGCCCCTACTCAAGAAAAGCAATCGAGGACAATCACTTTTGTATGGCTTAAACATTTACATAATAATATGTAGAGTGATGTCATGTAATGTACATACATAACCGCAGCAATACTGACTGAATCGGTTTATTGTCATTAAAAAATAAACTGAACCTGAAGCCAGAAGGGCTAAAACTGTACAATTTACACTGAAGCAAACCATGCGGAAAAAAAAGATACAAAAATCAAAAAGTAATTAGATATCAATCATTTTAGGAACATGGGGGTAATTGTCCTCGTGGGTGAATGTCCAGGGGGTAAATGTCTTGATACGCTAACCTTCTTAATAGACATGTAGGTCATCAAGTCAAAAGTTGAATGTCAGGCGTGTATCATTCAGTTGAATTGTCTCACCTTTTCCTTTTTTTGGAGAAAAAAATTTCAATTACCAAAAATATTTGTGTAAAATATTTGTTTGAGTTTTGGATCATGTACAGCTTCTTCAACGACATCTTTGAGCGAACAGCCGGCGAAGTTTCCAATGCTCATGCCTCAAAGAAGTTGTACTGAGTTAAATTTCACTTGAATCGATACAAACTTAGTCTACATCGATTGTAATTTTTAAAAAATCAGAGTTGTTATACGTATGGAATAATAAATAAAAATTTAAATAATGTTAAAAAAACTCATCTCAAATGTGGTTTTACAATTTCAAATTAACAATATTTTTTAATAGATTTCTACAATAAAACCACTTTTTTCAAGATTAATCTAGATTAATCGTAAATAATTGCATTAAATATAACCGCTTTAAAAATAGTTTTTTTGTAATAATAATCATATACAAAATCATTGTGGTGTGATTTTAGCACTACTTATATTAGTGATATATTTTGGAACGGATGGCGATTTGATTGTCGCGATCCTAATAATAATAACATTTAAGATTTATATAGCGCTGGTATACAAATTCAGTTTCTTAGCGCTTTCCAAAACAAATGAAATGAAAAATGCGGTACCAGTTAATCTACTGTGAATCCCTTTAGTATATCATTTGCACATAACACAAATAATGTTTTGGGAACCTTCCCTTCCCCAATCAATCGAACTGGCCACCCAGTAGATCCGGATTCACTTCAAGATATTCCTCACCTTCAAATGCACCGGGCAACCACCCTACACTCCCTCCGCTCTTCTCAAGAAATCATACTGAACCATCCGTCTCTAAAGATGCTTCCAACACTGTTTTGGTGACATGGCATTCATAACTCAGTGCTGATCCCAAACTCTAGAATGAACTACCAAATTTCTTTGCTACCAGCGATCTCTCAATATACCTTCCAAATATATCTAAAACCTCATTTTTTTTGTGTGTGTTTTATTGGCATCGTATGATTTAATGCTTGACATCCCAATGAAATTTATTTTAAACATTATTTAAAACAAAACCCCGCTCGCCCGCCCGCCCCTACTCCAGAAAAGCAATCGAGGACAATCACTTTTTTATGGCTTAAACATTTACATAATAATATGTGGACTGATATCATGTGATATTCATACATAACGGCAGCAATACTGACTGAATCGTTTTATTGTCATTAAAAAATAAACTGAACCTGAAGCCCAAAGGGCTGAAACTGTTCAATTTACTCTGAAGCACACAATGCGGGGAAAAAAGATACAAAAATCAAGAAGTATCAGTTATCAATCATTTTAGGTCACAGGGGACAATTTTCTGGAAGGAGGGATAATTTTCCTCGTGGGTGAATGGGGGTGGGGGAGGTTGTCCGTAGGGGGATATTATCCGGGGGGGGGGGGGTAGCTTTTCGGGGGGGGGGGTGATTGTCTAGGGGGTTATTGTCTTGATACGCGATCCATCTTACTAGATATAAGGTCATCACGTCAAAAGTTGAATGTAAGGTGTGTAGTTGAAATGTTTACCAAAAATATTTTTGTAATATATTTGTTTAATTTTTTGGATCAACAGCTTCGTCAACGTCATCTTCGAGCGAATAGTCGGCGAAGTTTCCAAAAGCCAGAAGTTGTACTGAGTTAAATATTAATTTGGAATCGATACAAAATTTAGTATATATCGATTGTAATTACAATAAATTACAGACTTGTTAGCCAGCAGGGAAAATTAAAGTAGATTCTTATTACTGTTAAAAAATTCATTAAATTAATAAAAAAACATTTTTTTTAATTAATTTTTTTTTAAATAAAACCATAATAATTCTTTAAATGAATCTAGATTAGTCCTAAGTAATTGCATTAAGTATAACTGCTTAAAAAACATTTTTTTAAATTTTAAATTCATTTTATGTTGCTGCAATCGACGCATTTGATCAACACGAAGTTGAAATCTTATATTTTGGAACGGGTAAGCGATTTACTAGTCGCGACCCTATAAGCCAGCACGAGTTAAATGTAAGATAAATTCCACTAATACGCAGCGCACATGATACTTATTTTGTTTTGGGAACATTACCTCCTCACTGTACGTCAGTTTTGTTCATGTAGCTCTGCTACGCCCTGCTTCTAGTTACAAACTGGCCATCCATTAGATCCAGATTCACTATAAAAATACTTCTCACCTTCAAGTGCACCGGGCAACCGCCCCTTTACCCCCGCCCCACCCCCGCCACCGCCCACCGCTCTTCCCAATCCATCATATTGAACCATCCGTCTCTCAAGATGCTTCCAACACTGTTTTGTTGACATGGCATTCATAATTCAGTGCTGATCCCAATTTGTGGAATGAACTACCAAATTTAAAATTTCTTTGAGTGATATAAGGCGCACGTTAGAACGCGTTTATGAACAATAAATATTATTTTATTGTTAATACTATTGTTATTATCATTAATATTATCATTATTATTATTATTATCATTAATATTATTATCAGAAGTAATAGTAGTAGTAGTAGTAGTAGTAGAAGCAGTAGTAGAAACAGTAGTAGAAGTAGTAGTAGAAGTAGTAGTAGTAGTATTAGAAGAAGAAGAAGTAGTAGTAGAAGTAGTAGTAGTAGTAGTAGTAGTAGTAGTAGTAGTAGAAGTAGTAGTAGTAGCAGTAGTAGGCTTAGTTGTAGTAGTATTTTAAATATTATTTTCGAATGTCTAACTTCAATTATTGTGTTGGTACCCCCCTGGTAACTGTAGGTTTATTATCAATTTAAATGAAGAAAACGAATCATGCTCGTTGAAGCTTGTCCCTTCTTTTTTGCATTTTTTTTATTTGACGCTAACCGATTGACGAAAGATAAGGCATGCTATCAACAAAATCTTTCTTGTTAAAGGTAATAGTTTTGGAAAATTTTGAAAATTGGCTGGATAGTGATTCTTCACAATTTTGATATATTTGGATGCCCCTGTGGATGTTTTAAAAGCACTAGAAAATGTAGCCCCTAAAACACTTCTGCTTTCGAGATAAATTGAATATCAAATTTACCGGTGCTCCCGGTAAATGTTAATGAATCTCAGAATATGTAGTTGTGATATATAATTTTCAAACGGGAATAGCCAATCGGTCGATTTTAGTCAAGAAGCATTAATTGTTTTATAGCTAAATAAATATATTGACCTTGAGAGGGAGCTATACAACATAAACAGTTTATTATTACAATTTCATCACTTTAGACTCGATTTCAACCGCGACAACGATCACTGAATATTGTAGGATCGCATATGCTTCCAATATGTTCGTTTGAACCAAATTTATGACCCATACCAAACCGTTGTATTACCTTTAATCACCGTGAGAGTATAGGCACATTTATGGACAATCATATAAAAATCTGAGAAGTCTAGAAGAATAATGGTGTGAAAAAGGGGTAATTTTCATTTGACTCTATAGCATGCACTCTCAATATTTCCAGAAGTGGAATTCCATCCTAAATATAAGGTGGAATCCACTATCAGAAATTCGTCAATGATTTTGGAGCGCGAGAAACGAAGCGATCCCGAACATGACTCTTAAAAATATTAGATTTCTGGCTCAGAGCGTTCTGTCATTGCGCCAAATTATAACGTAAAGGGCAATCCAACCTTTGTAATAATTTGATTTGTATGAAAGCAGAAAATAATAGAATCAGAATGGCAAAAGTTTAAAACGAATCGGACAAATAGTAAGGAAGTTATGGATGTTTGAAATATGAGATCACTAAGTCTATGCGAATTTCACATTGGTAGTTTGGTCAGTGGATTGTGACGTAGGACGTGGATAATTCTCCCATTAGCCGTGTACAAAAATATCACAAATTTCAGTTTTTCTCGTAAGTTTCTTCCTCCTTGGGGCACTTCTCAAATATATTATTATAGGTCCTCTAAACAGAATAGATCCATCTTAGCCATGATTTTTGTTTTTAATGCGACTCATGTAGATTCCCACCCCGTTACTTTAAATTTATGTGATATACATGTATGATAACGTAAGAGTTTAAAATGCAACAGGGGACCGACGGCTTTAGGTCATCTTCGAGGGACGTGGTATAATGAGGAATAATGCCTTACTAAAGGTCCCTTTAGCGAATCCACTTGGTTTGAACCCGTGTTCTCCCCTTTACGTGACCACCGCTTCCTCTTTCAATAATTAATAGTTCAAACTTTATTTTCTAATTTTCTTCACTCTCTACCCCTTGTATTTTCTTTCCCCAAGCCGTCGATGAAGTCGTCGTTACACGATGTCAAGTATTACAGGACGCAGCTCGAAGGCCACATCGAACCGAGCATCCACCTCGAGGCCACCCTGAAGAAGTCGTCATGGAAGAAGGCGGTGAAGGTCCTCGCCCCCGTCAAGGAAGTCATCGAGGATCTCAAAGAAGACCTCCATTCCGCAAAAACCGAGTGAGTCCTTGTGATGTTCGATCAGATTTAAAGCCCATCTGTACTAGTGTACAGGAGGGATTAGACCACCATGCAAGGTCACTGGACAGTGGTTATCTCCACAAATCAGCTCTAAATCAACATAAGAAAAAGAGGATCATGGGGACCGATGGTCACCGATTAGGCATTGTTTATTATATAGAGGGCGCAAGTAGCTATAAGTAGTGCAGTAGGGCTTTAATTTATGTTTTTCTAATACCTAAGCTTCAGGCATGAGAATCACTCTCTGTTAACTATAGCTCAAATATAAAAGATAATTATTAGACTGAGGAAGTAGTCGTGATATTTGATCAGATTTGATTATTATTCTATACAGTAAACTTCAGACATGCGATTTAAAAAAACAACCTCTTATCAGTTTATCATGAATTTTGTTTGATGTTAATTTAAACATTTTTCTTATACAAATTACAGTAGGCGGACATGTATGAAAGCTAAATAGAGCAAGAGAGGATTGCCATTTTTGAAAATTCCGCGGCCCCCGACCCCCACCCCAACAAAGAGCAAATTGAATTGAAACAAAAACTAGAATGAATAAATGAAACACATCCAACCACTTTCGAAAATCAATTTCAGTAGTCTTGTGCGTCACCTATTGAAATGTGCGAACATGGTGAAGACGTTTTGCGCAATCTAAACATTATTTCTATTGGGTTTACAATAGTGTTATTGAACTTGGCCTTCAGTTGAGTTTTCGAAAGTAGTTTTTATTTTTGTTATGAATACAAAAAATAGTTGAATGAATAGAGTATGAATATATGAATATACACATAATTATGGCTGAATAAATAGATAAATAAGCAAATGAATAAATAAATGAATAAGTAAATAGATATCACCAAAATAAACCATCAGTCCATACATTCTATTACTTCCCATCGAACAATTCATTAGTGCATCACGTCAAAAATAATACGACAAAAGAAAACAACTTGACCCCCTTTTTAAGGACTGGTGTCAATAATTGTGATACGTTAAGCCTCTAAATAATTGTATATAAAATTAATACACTCTGTCTTCTGAACATCCCAACCTTTATTGCAGTTTCCTCAAGGCCTTCATCTCAGAAAAAGTAGGTGGTGTCCCTCTGCTTTCTAAATTCCTGAGCCAAACCCAGGAGTTGATAGAGAAGGACAGGAACCAACAGAATGCCAACAACTCAGCATCGATCCCGTCAGCAGGACGCACCTCAACGCTGGATAAAAAACTACTCAAACTTCTTGAAAACATCAAACGCACAACAGTAAGTCAGTAAAGCAAGATTCAAAATTAACCTTTTTCTGGTGCCTAACTTAAGCCGGGTTGGTATTGAAATGGTTTTAGGACCGCTTATCAATGATTAGCGTTTTACAAGAGACCCAAATATTATGTTAAAATAATAATTAAAATTATCTTGTTTTCACTACCAGAAATCCATGTATTGGTGCTAGTATAGTGATTTAATTATGTTATTTGTATACATACACCACAATGTTTTCTCTATGAAGATTACAACAAATTAAAGTAGCATAGTTTATCGAAAGGAAAAAAGAATTTGTTACAACTTTCCTATATATTTGTATTACTTTATTAACCGTACAAGACATCTCATACTTCAATCTTTAATTAAGTGTAGCATTGAGATAAGCAGATTCGGTCTGTCTAGTATGGTACATTTTTATGGTTCGCATTTAATTTCCTTTATCTTAGGTGGAAGAATCAGACGCAATGAATTGCTTGCGAAAAATATCTGAAGACAAGGTGAGTAATTATTATTATTATATTTAGTATTGATATTATTATCATTATTTTGTTAATATTATTGTTATTATTACCATTATTAATTAATATTATTTTCATCTTTGTTTATTATTATCATCATTTTCTTTGTTTCCATTTTTGTTATTATCATTATCATTTTCATAATTGTTCGTATTATTATTATCAATTATTATTGTTAACATTATTGTCGTTATTAGTATCATTATTATCATCATTGTTTTTATTATTATTATTGTTATCAATCATTATCATTATTATCATTGTCATCACTGTTATTATTATTATTATTAGTAGTAGTAGTAGTAGTAGTAGTAGTAGTAGTAGTAGTAGTAGTATCATCATCATCATCATCATCATTATTATTATTATTATTATTATTATAACCATGATTAATATTATTATTATAATAATTTGAAGTAAATAATCTGTTGATGATGCTGTCACTTTGACTTTCTGATTGTTTTTTTTTTACCATCAGGAGGGGCTAGCGATCATTATGACAGCACCAGAGGTGTTAGAAATAATCACATCCTGTATAGTCAGTAGATCGCTATCAGCTCGGCTCTATGCTTTCATGGTAAGTCAAGTCAGATTCTCAGAGCCCAAACGATGAAATGGATTAGTCATTGAAAAACAAAGAAATAAGCAATCGGCATAATGATTAATTTAATGAGAAGTAAAATGGATTAACTTTAGATTGAAAGAAAAATGTTTTAGAGCCTGGTCTGAAGCAAGTAGGACAGTGATGCAATAACTTATATTTATATTGATTTATTAATTTTATTTATGCTATCACACCTTTGTGAGGATTATTATTATGATTAAGTGATGGCATCGCTTTCATTATGTGTATGATTATCCTGAATTAAAAAAGGGTTTATTGATTTAGCCAATTAGGCGTACTTAATACGATATCACTGTGGATGTTGATTTATTTTAACGGGGACCTGTTAGTGATGAAGAAAACATTGATAAGTGGATTCTTATTAAACGACGACCTTTTCAAACTGTAATAAGACCCCCTTTCGAGTATCTATAATAATAATAATATCTAAGATTCATATAGCGCTGGTATACAGATACAGTTTCTTAGCGCTTTACAAAACAAATCTATAATAAAAAATACTTTTTTAATTGACTCTGGCTGTTAGACAGGATATCCGTACATGAACCAGTTTTATGCCCTATTTATATCCAGGTTTTGATCGCAGTTTGTGAATCAAGAGACGGTCTAAACCGAGTGCTTACCGCCTTGACTAAGTTCCGAGTGAAGATCCGTGAAAAGGTCCGCTTCTACGCCGTCACTCAGATGATTTTCCTGGAGAAATCGAGGGTAGAACTGGTGGTAAGTCTTCTCATTCTCGTCTTCAACGAGAGGAGGGGAGGGGATGAAGTCCTCATTAATAGGGGTGTCACTGAAGTGCGGAGGGGACTGTCGGAATTCTCGATTTTTAGAGTACATTTATCTTTGGACGCCCCTGCACATGCAGACGTGGGGAATTAAGATCTGATTTTTTTTTTACTGAAAATTGTTATTAAAATAATTAATCATCAAATTAAGTCGAATATACAGCAAAGTTGAGGTGTACTGATAGGCCTTTTCATCGATAATACTGTTTTTTTTTTTATAATCAATTACATATTTCATGACGATTATTTTACGGCGACGATCATTATTGAAAACAAATTGCTAGACTTGCAAGAAAATAGTATGATCGAAGTGCTTGTGTGGTTTAAAGCATAAGCAATAGTTTTCTTTTATGCAGTGTCGAGATTACTTTTATTCATATTTCGCAATGCAATCGTTCTTATTGTTTGAAGAACGATGCAACAAGCGTAACAGAATATAAAATGTGAGAATATACCCCTTTTCTCTCTCTCTTTCTAGACGATTTGTCTTCGATTTATCAACACGATGCTTAGTTCTACCACGGACATGAATAGACGAGTCTACTTGCAATATGAGCTGGAGATGGCCGAGTTTAATCCAATCAAATTAGAGAGGGTAAATAATTCTCTTCTTCGATTAGTATTTCATGGACCCTCTCCTACTTATTTCTGTTTTGCTACTATTAATATCCTCGTTTTATACGAATCTGTTTTATTGATTTAAAGAAGATAAACTACAAACAAAATACGTTCATGAAATTCACATCGTAAACGCATTTTCTTTTTTCTTGTTTAAATCTATGTCTGTTCATGTTTTTTTGTAATTCTTTTTTTACATACTTTTTTATCGGATCCAATTTTATTGCCTATGCTGTACTTCTTTTTTTGCTCTTTTAATCTTCTTCCCTTGCTCTTTTAATCTTCTTCCCTCAATATTTTTTCTTTTAAAGGTAGTGTATCCATTTTACAGCCAACATCAAATTCTGTAGAACTTTGCAGAAATTACGAATATTTCACGTATGTCCTATCTGTGGGTCTGAAAATCAGACTTTTTAATTAAATGAGCACGCTCGCTAAATTCGATTCGATAACTGACAGTCATTATTTTCCGACAAAAAAATATTTGCAAGCCCTTTCTAGGACCTTTAAGATAAGCACAATCACACAAATAAAATAAAAAATAAAAAAAGATAAACAATATCGAAAGGACTACGAAATCTACGTACGATCAACTTTAGATTGCCTTTTGAAGATGTTGTTGTTGTTTGTTTTGTTGTTCAGATGATGTAATCATTGTGAATAGACGAGGCAATCGAAATTGCCTAGTTTGATTTTCTGACAGATTTTGCGATCATGTTGATAGCAGTGTAATTTCATTAGTCATTGACTCTGTTCATAACGTCTTCCTTTTGACTTTTTTTTTCCTATGTAGATATATCGTCTGGAAGGCGAATTGCCGCCATCGATCAAATTGGAGTTAGACGCATGGCACAGTCGTTACATCAGTATTCAAAGACTTCAAGAAAATCTAACGACAATCGAGACAAGGAACGCTCTGTTGAGAAAAGAGGTAACCGAACTGTCAAGAAAAATGTTTTAAAAGAGAAGATTTTAGATATAGATAAAGATTTCGAATATGATTTTTTAGTATCAACTGTAGGTTTTTTTCAAAGACATCTTCTGGAAGTCTGGAATGACTCCTGCTTTCAGCTAAACATTATGATAGGAAAATAGAATCTCGACCCATGCAAAAATAGGTTCTCAATTTCGAAAACTGAATGAAAGATGATAATAATTTTTTTAAAGGAAAATATGATACTGTTTAAAAAGTTATTATCTTTGGTTACAAGAAGCAACGAAATGAAAAGAACACATTTATGTGAATAATGTGCGTTATTGATCAAAGACTATTCGGACTATCTTTTGAACATAATCTTCAGGCCAATTTTCTATGTTTTGAATATGGATCAATAAAAAAGAATCTATCTTAATCATTTTCTTTTTTTTATTCTACAGGTTGACCGACAAGGATCTCGCATGTCAGACTACGAGTATGAGAACAAGGCGTTACAAACCAAAATTCTAGATGTAAGATTCAACCAATTTTTCTCTCTATATAATTTATCTTGTGTAATGCTATATCACATCAATGAATGAAATTTTTTAGCAAACAATATATTCGTTAATATTTATTCGACCAAGTGAGTCGGCTATAAAATGATACTTGATGATGGGTGTTTAAAAAAAAATGAAGGGAAATTGGCTTACCTTTGTTTTGACATAACCCGTTGATAGGTCAATCATTTATTATGAACTGCCTCATATATTCGTTTATTAAATTGGTACCAACCAAAGGGTCGGATTGATATAATAAATACATTTTCAACATGATTATTGGTAAATTATGAATATAAATACATGTAGATCATAAATACAAAGAACATTACAAATCATTCGGGTATATCATATTACAAGTAAATAATTACAAGAAAAAAGGAAACAACATAAACTTGAATAGAGAAGAAAAGGGAGCAAGAGAGGGGAAAAGAAAAGAGAAGTAAAGACATATCATATGAGCCCCATGTTTGGTGAGATATATCAAGATCCGTATAAAATAAATTACTGTTTCCTCTCATTTCGCAGCTCGCTTCAAGGTCAGATGACTACAGGGACAGGGTCAACGAACTCCAAGACACCATCGAAAAATTGACGGTAAGACATGAATGATCAGATTATAATTTGGATTTATTCATCATTCTAATAATGTGATAGATCTTTAGAGGATTATCATGGAAACACAAGACTTGGTTGCACTAACATAAAACTGGTTATATTTCAACAAAAGTACTTGGAAATGATAAGAGATACCAAGAATTTTTTTGTAAAGACAATTCATAGTTCAGAGATATGAGTACAAAGTGGGTCCCATCTAAAGAAGGAATTAACACTGTGGAAAACTACAGGTATAGCTCCATGTCAATTTAAACAAAATAACAAGATGCTGCTTCGTAGAAGTGATGATTCTCTGGATTCACCTGTTCTCGCAAATTCACCTTCACGTTGTGTCCCTGAGGGTGAATACTGTTTGGTACTCTAGTCTTAACCCTTTGCTTACGGGAACCTGGTGGTCCCTGTGCTAAGCCTATGGGACCTATAACATTCAGTAGCCAACGGGTTAACCCTAAACACACATTTCATCTTGGTCTCGTTTGCAGAGGGAATACACCAAGAAGACAGGGCAGCATGCGGAGAAACAGTTCAGCAACTTCAACAGTCTGATGAAACCTCTGGAACCCGAACAGGAGGGCGACGAGGTGACCGTCATCATCGAACCTCAGAAGACCGGGGAAAGGAAACTCGAGAGGAAGAAGTCGGTCCTCGGTGACAAGAAGAAAGAAAGTAAGTTTGAATCCCTCATTGTTTTTAAATGCATTTCCTTACACATGTTTTTATTGCATTTAGAAGAGTTCCCAAACATGTTACAGAAGGCCTTCATTCTTCTTTTAAATGATTGAATAAACGAATGAATAATTATATGTAAAAATAAATATCAAATACATGTAAATATAGATAAATAAATGCATGAAAAAATGAATGCAGAAATAAACAAGTCGATAAGTAAATAAATGAATTTTCGTCTTTGAGAACTTTTTAGTTCTTTAATAGATTTTAGCCCAGGCAAATGAAAAAATATGACTTGTATTGCTTGCTGCACAGTTTTGGCTGTGTGAATCTTGCGGGCCCGTGCGTGTATGTGTGTAATTGGGTTTTCACAGACGTGTATCAATCAGATATTATTATTTACGTTTGGGGACCGAACTTTAACGTCACCATCCGAAAGACGTGACTCAGTTTCGAACCTGCGTTCTCGGTTGAATCAGTTACCTTGTTCTGTTACCTGCAAAGTACCTTGTTACCTTCCTTGTAAATGAGATGTGTATTTATGTTTTTCACACTTTTGGTCCCAGCCCACCCCATTCTAATCTTTCAAGTAATGCCCTTGCTCTGAGTCTCTTTTCGATTAACTTGATATTGATGAAGAAAAAAATTAGGTGAATGACAGACAACATTCTCTCTGACGTCCCTATGCCAATTTGTAATATGTTCACATCTGCTTCTGTTAGCAAGTTTTGTGCACATTTATGTATTCTTATATGTTATTCATTGTTATCTCCTGCCAGTGGAGGCCAAATCTCTGTGTTTTTTAACGTGGACAATAAAATATGAATCTGAATCTGAAGTTCTATTTGGTGATGAGCTTCATTTTACATTAACGATATTCATGGTTCCTACTTCAGTTATCGGCTGTGTGAATCTTGCGGGCCCCTTGTTCTGTGACCAGCAAAGTACCTTTTTTTTAATTATTTCCCTTTTAAATAAGATGTGTATTTGTGTTTTTCACACTCTAGTAACATTGTTCAATAAAACATTATTACGAACCTGTTTTGATGCTGTCTTTGCAGTTGTGATTTCCAAGCCCGCAGCGAAGAAGAAGTCCCAGGCACCGCCCCCTCCCACCCCGCCACCCACCCCTGAAATACCATCCAGCCCAAGCAAACCAGGCGTGCCCGGCGTGCCCTTGCCTCCGCCTCTAATGGGAACCAGTAAGTACGATACCCTTTTTAAAATAACGTCCCACGCCCCCACCTCTTATGGGAACCAGTATAAGTACAATACCCTTTTTTGAATAACGTCCCCTGAAAGCCTAAAGGATCTTGACCCATTTACTTTTTCATAGAGCTATAACGCCCTTCTGGATCTCAATCAACTCTTTATCTGATGACTTGTTTAGACGTGATTCTCTAGCTCGATCGTCCATCCACTTCTAGGAGTATTTCAATTTTCAAATTGAATTTAAGGTTTCAGAATTAACTACTCTTTTGCATTTTCATGATAATTGTCTCCGTCTATCTTACTTTAATATGTATTTACCTGGTTTTTATGATCTCCCATTTAATTATAGACAATAAACCGCCGATATAACTGGAAAATATACAACTTGAGACTTTCTTGACACATAACGAGAAGATTACTAGCCAAATTTGAAATGGAATCTAGTGTTTCGGGAGCAGCCAATCTAAACAAGTACATTTGTTTTTAGTTTACAAAGAGGTTTATCATAGGAAAATAATATGTTTGCAAAAGTGTTTTTCTACATCTCATACTTGTTGGAGATGTCAACTGGATTATCGATAGACCACATGCAAACCTGTCTTAGTGGCTACGGCTCTATAAAGACCACCTGTCTACAGTAGTCGCCTTTTCTGTTTCCATTGGGTGACCTTAATAGACAGGTTTGACTGTGTATATTTTGACAATCAATTAATTTGTAATTTTAATCACATAAATTGTTTGTTTTTTCAGTGAGGAAGAATAGGAACCGACTGATGTCCAAACATGCCTTGCCAATGCTCAACTGGAACACCATCAAAACACCAGGAAATACAATTTTCAAGGTAAAATGCATTCTGTCCCTTTCCTGGAATCTTATTGTATCTGACAATGTACTTTACTTCAATTGCTGCCTTAAACTGATAGTATATATTTGAAAGATCAAATATATTTAGTTAGAAAGAGAGAGAGAGAGAGACGATCGCAAATACGCTAGAAATCAACTCACGAACAATTTCCACACCCTCTTGTATTGCCTATTGCAATCACACTCATATTGATAATGTAGGCTAGCTTATGATCAATTTATCAATGTCATGTTTGCACTTCTTAAAATATGATGCACATGAAGGCTGTTGTAACAGTCTTCGGTAAGTAATTTAATGTATATGTGTATGTTTCAGCAGTGTTTCTTTCTTCTATCTTAAATTTGTATTGCATCAATTCTTTGGAAAACATAATTTCCACTTTATGTGTATAAGAATAAATCAATTCTCAATGATCAATGATCTGTTAACCAATTTCAATCCTGAATTTATCTAAACCATTAAATTAAAACTATTGACTATTGACTGAATTGAGGACTATGGTAATGGTCCAGAGATGAGAGACAATTAAAGATATTGCGATATTCAAATTTGCTGTTTTTCTTAACGTCCCCATTTTCCAGGTATTGGATGACGAGAATGTCTACGATGAGTTGGACTTCGAGGACTTTGAGAATCATTTTAGATTAAAAGAAGCCTCGGCGTCGACCGCGACGATGGATAAACTTAGAAGAATTCAGGAGAAAGAAGCGCTGAAGGTCCGGGTCGTCGGCGACAATCGCGCCAAAAACCTGAGTAAGAAATTGTCGACGACTGAATAATCATGCTAATTGAGAAGCCTGCATAGTTTCATTTCAACTTTAAAAGATTGCTTTCTGTGTTAACGCCCTTTTCATGATAAAGAATAGTTAAAAATTGTTAGCATAAAGTTTGACGGACAGACTTGAGTCATAAAGCTCAAGCGGCATACATTATCTGTGCCCACAGAACTGTGGACACAGATATCCTCATGGTGTGAAAGTGTCACTGTTTTACAACACAGCAGAATAGGAACTCTTCTTGTTGTACAACATAATCTAAAAACACCTTGAACATAATAATTGTTGTTATCTGTGTGGTTACAATATGTCAACAGTTTGATACACTTTAGTTACATATCTAACCAAAACGTGACCACATGGTAAAGTGTTGAACGCATTTACAATGGGGGCAGTAGGAACACACTGTGTTTGTAGTGTGGCTTTATATGTGTGGCTATCATCCTGCCAATAAAAACTGTTTATGTGCACACAAAACTGTGTTGGACAGATAGAATCATAGCGAGAATGTATCACAGACTTACCACACAGTATAATATATAATCTTTTCATTTTATATTCTAAACACACTGTGTTCATAGTTATTGTGGTTATCTGTGTGGCTAAACTATGTAATCAGTTTGATGCACTGTGGTAACAGATTTAACCATAGTGTATCAGCAACACAATGTGCAACCACCCGGCAAAGTTTGAACTCAGTCACAATGAGGGCAATGGGAACCCACTGGCCCGAATTCACAAAGGAGGTTTGTCGACAAACCTTGGTTTTCGTAGACGCGTTTTTACGCGTTTTTTACAAACCTGGTTTGTAAAGAACAAAAGGAGGTTTGGCGAAACAAAAGGAGGTTTGTCACAAACCTCCTTTGTGAATTCGGGCCTCTGTGTTCATAGTGTAACTTTCTGTATCGCAGCTCACAGAGCATTTGGGAACTCTTCTTATTGTACATTATCTAACCAAACTGTGTTCATAGTCATTGTGGTTGTCTGTGTGGCTACACTTATGTAACCAATTTAATACACTGTGGTAACAGATTTAACCATAGTGTATCTGCAACACAGTGTGCAACCGCATGGCAAAGTTTGAACTCAATCACAATGAGGGCAATGGAAACCCACTGTGCTCATAGTGTAACTTTCTGTATCACGGTGTTACCACAGAGCATAATAGGAAATCTTCTTATTGTATAAAATAAAAACACACTGTGTGCATAATCAGTGTGGTTGTCTGTGTGGCTACAATAGGTTAACAGTTTGATGCACTCTGGTTACATATTTAACCACAGTGTATCCATAACACAGTGTGACCACGTGGCAAAATTCACAATGAGGGCAATTGGAACATATTGTGTTCGTAGTGTGACTTTATGTGTGGCTAGTTTTACACAGTGTACCAATAAAGGATAATAGTGAATGCATTTCATTATGACTGCATGATGGAATGTGAACTCTTTCATAGTGTGGACAATGTGAGGACACTGTGTTAATATTTGTGGTTTTCTGCGTGATTACAATATTCTTTTAATCATAAATCTTACATCCCCCCCCCAAAAAAAAAAACGCATCCCATCCATTGTGGCTAACTTGTTTAAATGTTTAATCTTTGTATTTTTAGTAATCGCTCAACGTCGGATCGGGTTAGCTCCGAAGGATATCCGAGGCTTCGTCGATCGCTGCGACACCACAGGTGTGCCCGGGGAATATGCCGAAATTCTCCTCAACTTCGTTCCAACAAAAGAAGAGGTAATTACGGTTCATTCATATTGAATAATGGCGTAAAATTTTGGCACGATCGCAAAGACGTTGGAAAAATCATCCGAATGCAATCTCAGTCTTCTTGTCCATCAGCTGTCGAAGTGTGTGAACACAACGACGTATTAAGTAATCTGAACATGATTTCTATGGAATGTACAGTAGGGTATAGAAATTGCCCTTTAATTTATTTCTTAAATGCTTTGCTATCGTATTCTGTTCAGTAGAGATAATGTGTTGGGACCACAAGCGCCTGAACCGAACATTTTGATTTGCGCTGTATTGGTACCTCGACTTTGGCGTTGTAATGAATCTTATGTTTCGTCCCCAGCTCAAGAAGTTGGCAAACAATGCAGATAAATATGAGGAGATGGGAGAGGCAGAACAGTTTATGTTCCAGGTATGTGTTTAATTTATTTACGTTTCCTTATAGCTCTAAGATGAATAAAGTTAACTTCTAATGATAGTAGGCTATTTATATATTGAGTTTTTTTCTTTCTTTTAGAATATTACTTCATTAAAAGTATCAGTTCGATTTTGATGTATTTTTGCAAAATAAAATGCAGGCTTTTAGTGTGAGTCGTTTGTTCATTTACTTGTAGTTGATATTATTTATATTCCTTGTCGTTTCACTTTGTAATGCACGAACCTCTTGACATCCAATCGATGTTGATATTTTGGGAGGAAATGAGTATATACATTTTTATCTTTTACAATACAGTCAAAGTAGTGTATTTTAGCATCAATAATACCACACAAATATACACATAATTTAAAGTTGACGTCGACGGTTAAAATCAGATTTGTAGATTTGTCAAGTATAACAGTTCTTGCGAAGAAAATAAATCACTATCATGAACAACAATATTGTAACTGAAAATAGTTACAATTCTGATTAACAATGTTTATTTCCTTCATTGATAGATGGCTAGGGTCGACCGATACGAATCGAAGCTGAGGTTAATGACCTTTATGGGCATTTATGGCGAGCTGGTAGTCACACTCAAACCAGTAAGTCTTCTTCTTAATATTTTTTATCACTTAAGTTATTGTGTATACAAATATTAGGTTGGAGGGTAAAAAAATAGTAATGACTGTTGCTCCTCTTTCCTTCCCTGCTCGCCCTCCTTCTTCTCCCCTTCCTTCTCCTTCTTCTTCTTCTCGTTCTCCTTTTTATCATCATCAGCATCATCTTCTTCTTCTTCATCGTCATCTTCTTCTTCTACTTGTACTTATCAGTATTACTAGTATTATTTGTATTATTTACTTTTCATTTTAACAAAAATTTGTTTAATTAATTTTAATTTTTATCATTCTTATTTCTTTTATCTCCCTAGAAATTTCCCTTCTTCTTCTTCTTCATCTTCTTCATCTTCTTCTTCTTCTTCTTCTTCTTCCTCTTCCTCTTCTTCTTCTTCTTCTTCTTCTTCTTCTTCTTCTTCCTCTTCCTCTTCCTCTTCTTCTTCTTCTTCTTCTTCTTCTTCTTCTTCTTCTTCTCCTTCTTTCCTTCTCTTCCCTTCCCCTATAAAGCTACAGCTACAGCAACATTTTTGTCATCTACGCTACAAGGCTTAATATTATTATAATTATGAATGAAATGAATCGTTTTGGTTAGCAATTAGCTGTTGTCATTTATATTATCATTATAATATTATTTTTATTGCATACATTTCAAAATTATTTCAGGAGATACAAGCGATCGTCAAAGCATGCGATTCCATCGTTACAAGTGGGAAACTAAAGAAACTACTCGAGGTAAGTAATGGAATGGATTATGTAAAGTGATTTCATAATACCTCGGTAATCGGATGAATTCAAATGATTAAACAAAAGCAAACAGAAGCAAATATAAGCAAACGAACGGCACCAGCAAAATATCTAAAATTTAAAGTCTCAATTCTCAATTCAGCTTCTTTTGAGTAAATACCATCGATAAAAATATTTTCCATGGCAAGACGTGATTAATTATATTCTAATGAATGGAATTATTTTAGTCCACATTATGTTTTATGAAATATTAAAGAAGAGATTGGAGAGAGGGAAAGTAGGAGTGAAAGAGAGGGGAATGGGAGGGAAATACAAGGTGGGGGAAGGGAGAGAAGGTGAAAGTGTGAAGGAGATATAAAAAGGGGGTTTGTGAGAATTAACGTCATTGTACTCATTTTTTCTCTCCAGATTGTTCTAGCGTTTGGTAACTACATGAACAGCAGTAAGAGAGGACCCGCCATCGGATTCAAGCTTGAATCACTACAAAGGGTAAGTACTACAGAGATGTCATCAAAATCAATCCGGAGATCGGCAAAGCATATTCACAATCAAGCTTAATGTAGGTCGACATAATGGATCATATATATATGTATGTATGTATATAATTCATATAATATGTAACACGGGATTTCATATTATTTTGAGATGATGTTTAATACAGCCCCTCAAAAGTGTGAAGCCAAACTTTGCCAAAGAATTTATGGCAAAATTTCACTTAAATTGTCTAATGATGTGAAAGAGGTTGTCGTATAGCATACATTTCTGGAAGGATTTTCCAAACAAATGTGTTTGAAGAGGAATATTGATGAAAGCAAGCAAAATTTAGGTTCAGCGTTGTACGCAAAAAAAAACAAATTATGTGATCTTTCATCGATTTTTGTCTTCAAATACATTTATTTGAAAAAATCCTTTCAGATGTGCGTGTTAAATGTCATCATTTTTCACATCTTTATACAATTTAAGAAAAAAATTATCATGTAATGTGTGGAGCTCCCAACACTCTCTTTAAAGAAGGTTTAAAGGTCTCAAGTGAACGTCAATCTCTTGAACCAAACTGCGTGGGCGAGACGCGATGTAATATTTGATGTTATGATAAATTCTCCCCATAGTTTTGTCTAGTTGTGATAATGTTGTATTGCATGGTTTAGGCGGATTAGGAGGATTATATATTCCTCTACCTAACAACAAAATAATGAGAAATTAGTAGAAATTAACGCACACAAAACCAGGCGTACTATTATTTCAAATATGTGGTTTTATTCGCTCCATGACAATCGATCTTCTACCAAAATCAATTGATAATGAAAAGTATGGAAGTAAAAGTGGTAAAACGTTATACAAATGTCTATTTTTGCACATGATACTCTAGAGTACACCCTTTATTGATTTTCTGTTTGACCAGTTGACGTTCGTGAAGTCAACGGATCGTAGTCATAACTTTCTCCATTACCTGGTCGAGGCGGTCAACCGATGTTACCCTGACATCAAGGACTGGTACAACGATCTCCAGTTCGATGATCTCAAGTCAGGTATGACTCAATGGCGTTATTCACTTATAATTATGTAGAGTTGGATTAGGAGAGTGTGTGGGTGTGGGGGAGGGGGAACGTCTTTGGTAAATCCATAACAAATTTTTTAGATATTTTGCCGGGATTCATGGGGAATCCGAGGGAATTTTTTTTAAACAGATTGGGAGATTGGGAGATGACCGAACCCCATGCATGCTAATGAGGAAAATGTATACACCCTCAGCCCCTTTACATATATATCCTGGATTCGCCACCCTTGATGAGGCTGGTTCTCAAATATAATTATTTCCACAGTGTTATGGGATATGTTATGCCAATTTTTGTTCAATCCATACTTTCCAGAAAAACGCATTATTTAAGACAGAGGATGCAAGGGTCTTTTTTCATATCTGATTACTCTTTTTGCAACTTAGTTGAAAGACTGATGTCTGTCATGGTGACAAAGGACACATCATCTGACATGTATTATCCCTGGTAAAAAAGAAAATTTGCAAGTCCCATTATGGTACCTGCCAAATCATGTCAAAGGATATCTTCCAAAAGATACCAGTAGACAGAAGTATAACAGGGACTTTTAGATACGCACGAAGACAATAGGTCTATGCTACGATCGACGTCCTAATAATGCACTGCCTTGAATGGACGTCACACGTTTCAGTCCACTCAAATCTAAAAGTCCCTAATCCTTCGAAGCTGATCGCCCTGTCCTATGTATTATTTTCATAATTGTTTTATTATTTTGTTGAATACAATTATTTTGTTCATTTTTCATGATTTCTTTTCAACTTATTTCATTCTGTCTTTCTACAGGATCTCTGGAAGCTCTGACAATAGACATCCAAGGACTACGTAAAGGCCTGGAGCTTGCCAAGTTTGAACGGGAAAGACAGATGAACAACCCTGTCATTGGAATATCCTTTACAAAAGGCCTTTTTGTTATTCAATGGTCTACAACTTTCAGTTAATTTATTATTATTTATTTTAAACAGTGAAATGTTACATAACCCGAAAGGGATTTTTGTAGGAAATGTAATAGGGTATTGATATTGCTCTTAAATTGATTTCTTAAAATATTTTTCTGAAATCTTTTTCATAATGTTCATAGAGTTATTCATAATGACCGTCTGACGGACAGAGTACATATTTTTTTTAAGCGTTGATAACAATTTTACTCTTTCTTATTTACCTCTAAGAAATCATACATACATACATACATATTGGTGGTTATTTAGCGCCTTTACGTGCATTACACTCTAAAAAATAACAATTACAAAGAAAACAAATGAGTTTTTAAATTTCTCTTAGAAATCCAGTAAATATAACATGCAACTTGGAGAGCAATAACAAACACGTCAGCCTGTTAGGCGACATAACCCAACATAGATAAAAGGCCTTCTTTTTCGATTTGATTAAGGGTGGAATCATAAACGAGAAATCAAGAAGTATACACTTATAGGCGTCTGTGAACGTTTTTCTTTCCAGTCATCACTAGCTCTTACTTCCTTTTTCTTCTCTTTTACCATTTTAGGCATAAACATGGGGACGATGATTGAGTATTGTGTTCCAATGTGATGTAATCCTCTTCCTCCTCCCCCTTCTTTTCTTCCTCCTCTTCGTCATACTCCCTCTCTTTCTACCTCTTCTCTCCTCTTCCTCCTCCTCCCCTCCTCCTCCTACTAGTCCTCTCCCTCTTCCCCATTTCTTTTCCTTTCTTTATTTTGAATCATCTCTCACGTGTTCCTCCAAGAGTCCTGTTTAATAGTAAGTTCCTTTTGACAAAGGTGAAATGGGTATAACACATTCTGATCCTTGACTGCTATATCCACCAGTTCTACATAGGCGCAGCGGACACCATCCACGCCCTCTCGGAGGGTTTCAAGAAGATGGAAGAGATCTACCAGTACACCTGCAAGATGTTTGGTGAGAATGCCGACCATGTCGAGCCTGTCAACTTTTTCAAGCTCTTCAAGGGTTTCAGAGACCAGTATCGGGTAAGATTTTCAATTTGTTATCAACATGGTCCGGAATCCATATTTAAAGAATTGCGGAGCCTGAGCAACTTTAGTCTAAACAAGATTGAAATGTCTTGCTAAGTTTGAACTTAATACTGATGGAAAATCTTATAGCATAAGCCTGGCATAATCAAATCGCTCGTCTGTATTCTGAAGTTGATCATTAGTTCCATTGTTCATTGGCTGTCCTCATGGTGGGGGTGGGGGGGGGGGGGCTCCACTGCCCCCGTTCTTTAAAGAAAACTCTTTTTTTGTCGATTTATGCGAACATTGAATCGCCTTTTAAACTCTTTAAAACCGTTTTAATCACCACCCTTCTGACAAAGCTGGATCCTTTTTGAGTGTTGCTATTGTATCACATTTGTTGTTGTTTTTCTTTTATTTTCTTTTGTCTTTGAATGATTTAACCTTTTTTGTCTTGTTTAAGGCTGCTGAAAGAGCGAACAGTAAACAACCAATTGAAGTAGCTCCCAAACGTAAACCAGCCAAGAAAAAGGACTCTTCCAGCACCAAGCAATTCGGCCTTCCGCAAGAACTACCTTCCGCCGGCGTCTCGGGTCGTCTCGGGCTCTTCCGGCGCTCGACCCAGAACAAGGGCTCATACGAGGTCAAGACCAAACCATCACAACAGACATCGTCAGCGCTGCCGTCGCCCGACGAATCGTCAACGAATTTGAGACGGGATTCACCGTCGTCCTCCGACTCGGGCATTGCATCAATGGCGTCATCGGGCGATAGCGGTTCAACGCGAAGCATTCCGTATGTGACAGTGGACGGCAACGATTCATCGAAGACTGGAGGGGTCGTCATGACTGCCAATGGACATGAACATAATAAAACGCAGACGACCGGTGCGGAAGGCGGAGACAATGCCGGTGACGGGAATTCGAATTTCTGGGGATTATTCAGCGGACTGAAGTAAATGACTACAGTAAAAGCTAGAACCCATTCTTATACTTGAGCGTTATCTTACGGAGATGTAAACATGATCTACTTTGTTTCCAGATAACACTATTCTGCACCCATTCAGCAGGAAAGAGCCAGTGTTCATTTCTGCTTCTTTACATAAGGACATTCCTTTAATGGAAGACTGTGACGTCTCACTTGTATTCTTTGCTCAAAATGATGGACAGAGGCACTAACCGTGAAAGGTTCATTGTGAAATCGAAAAAGAATTATTCCATGTAATGATGGTCCTGCTTCAATTGTGGACTTGATCGTTCCTGGCACTATGAAGACTTTACAGTAAAGTTGAATGATTAAAGATTTTAAAGATACAACTTTATATGAACGTAGAATATATAAAGTATTTAAAAAGTAAAGCATTTAGGTCGACAACTTCCGATTTTAAAAGCTTTATATTTCTAGTTGTCAAAGAGCTGTTATATACTCCTCTGACGTAAATTTAAGTAGTATATACTTAATATTATTGTAATCTATGGCTAATACGCCTCCTTTGATATATATTTCATCTATTTCATTTTTCACTTCCGACAGGGTCTTTAAAAGATATAAAAGATCACTATGTTTTAGTATGAAAAATAGTTGAGAGTGAGAGAATGACAGAAAGAGAGGGAGAGAGAGAGAGAGAGGGGGGAGAGAGAGAGAGAGAGAGAGAGAGAAAGGGGATGGGAGAGAGAGAGAGAGGGATAGAGAGAGAGAGAGAGAGAGTAACTGAGATAAATCAAATTTGGATGAAAACAGGATCCCAGATAATGATGTATTCAGATTAGTTTTGATATGATCAGCATAATTCTTAACAAAGAATATTAGGGATGAAATGTTGCTTCATTTAAAGACATAATCTCTTCCAAAATAGTAATAATGGTAGGTGTGATCAATCATGTATCTTTTATCTTTTTTAAATATATATTGACCAATGGCTAGCTATGAGTCGAGTGGGAGAGGGGGAAATATGAGAGGGTGGGAGGGGGCCAACATAAAAAACACGACCCCCTACCAAAAGACTTCCTCCATATAAGCCATCCATTCCTTACTCATACGATTGCCATATTGTATCGCATTTCACCTATATATTACTTAGTAAAACGTTTACCCCCAATCGGCTCGCCTATATAGCTGAGACGTTGAGCCGTACTTAATTATTTCAAATTCATTTTGAATATGTGTATTCCACAATCATAAGATGATGTCACCTAGTCGATTGCTAGTTTTGATTTTCAAGGTTTTAGATTTCGAGTTTTTCACTCCTTAGACAGACACTAACAATGGCATTTAATCTATACTTTTGTAACCTATGGCTTGTAATATTTCCTTTGATATATAAAATATAGGCCCCATGGGAGACCACTACTTATTGGTGAATGGGCTACACTGACAAAGATTAGAAATACATTTAAAAAAATCAAAAACAAAAATCATCTAATCCATTTTTCACTTCTAACAGGGTCTTTAATGACAGGACCCACTATTGCCACTGATCTAAGCTTATCCCTATAGAAGCCATTTTCTTCATACCCTCTGAGAAAGCAATAGAAAATATAGGTAATTTACAAAATGGCCCCAGGATCTAAATCATTTTTTCATGAACCATTTCTATATCTTTATCCATTTACGGGGGGCCGAATTTTCATCACGGAATTTACTTTAATATAGAAGCCACTTAGAATTGTTGATATTTCGCTGTATTGATCAACTCAAATCTAAGTAGTATAATTTTGTGGCTTACTAAAACGTTTTAATGAATCATTACATTATATCATTATGTAGAAAATTAATATTATGATAACGGGAGGAAGTATACACGTAGGTATTGGTTTTGAATAAATTATGTTCTAATCATTAATGTTGTGCTTCGTTTAAAATAGATTGTAATAATTGGTATGTCTTCCTTTCATTCAAAACAGTAATAGAAAATATCTTATTATGTATATTTACAAATGCATTCATTCTATTTTGTTTAATTAATTTTGCAATGTACATCGCCATTTACAGATAGATATGAAGGAAATAGATATAGTATATTACAAACTTAATCTTCTTATGCTGGGCAGTATTTTTGAGATATTGTAAATATTGCTATAAATGATGTTAAACAAAGAGTATAAAGAGAATTGTATAAACCTAATATCACTACTTTATATTTATAAGTACACGTGATGGTATATTCTGAACATTTCCTATTGGAAAAGGGGCATTGTATTCACATAAATTCAATTTGCGTTCCTTTTTGCAATTTTCTTTGAAAAAAACGTCTAGCGATTTGATTTCTAAAATATAGTCATGTTTTCCCAGCAGATATATCGGTCTGAGAATTTTTTACCGCTAAACACATACAGATGGGAGGCAATATCAGTGTATGCATAATTATATCAACACCCCATGCTATCAAATATTTTCTCAGTGATTTAATGTTTAATTCACCGAGGTTTCATTCTTTTAAGTCAAACGAAAACCACTCCTTTTGTTATTGACGTTATCACCATGATTTATTACTATTATTTTTTTTTAGATATATCCTGATACAATCATTATGCTTAAAAGAATTGTAATGTTGATTTAAAAACAAACAGAATAGTTTATACAAATGGCATCGTATTAATAAATAATAATAATAATAATAATCGCCATACAGAGATTCCGCAAATTCTGACAATCTCTGCATTACTTTTATAATGCATTCCGTCTATGATGTATCAAAAATATATCTTGATTGTCAGAAGTCGAAGATCATTATTATTCAGATTTGCAATTTTGATCTTTTTTGTAGCAATAGAGTCGGTATGCCATCTGCCAATAAACACCACTGACAGTTTGATAACAGGTGTATTTAAATGGCTTTTTTAACTTCAGCAAGTGTATTCTACATGTAATTGATGTACTTGTACATTCCCTTTCATCATGAGTGTTTCAAATCTTTTGATTGTTTATAAGCTCGTTTCTATGACAACACTCTTTGGAACAGAAATGTTTTCTAATTCGAGTCTATGAGTCAGATTTATTATCGAATACATGTAGGGGCCAATATTTACTATTGGTAACGACTGGTTTATTATTAACACACAACTAATTTGAGCAAAGATAATCAAGTAAGGCTATAACATATAAAAATTCTTTAAAGAGTATATAATTCGAATATGATGCCATGCCAAAATAAACGGTAATATGAAAACTGAAAACTAGAACGCAGTTCTGTGTAAGAGGGACGGAGAAAGAGAGAGAGGGGTGAAAGGGGAGGGGAGAGATATGAGAGAGAGATAGAGAGATAGAGAGAGAGAGAGAAAGGGAGGGAGAGAGAGAGAGAGGAGATGGAGAGGGAGGGAGAGAGGGAGATGTGTGCGAGAGGGGAAGATGTGTGAGGGGAAAGTGAAGTAAGCGAGGAAGATAAATTGAATATATGAACTTCTTGAACAATGATTCTCTTGACAATTCAAAAATTGTATCACATGCTCGACTGACATAGCAACAACGAGACAGCGAGAGAGGGATGGGAGAGGAAATTGGAGAGAGCATGTAAGCAAGAGAAAAGGACAGTTTACGACAAATCTGATGCTATAGGCCTATATCTTGAACAGTAGTTCTCTTGACAACTCGGTAGCTTACTATATGCTTGCCTTGCATAACAACATCTAAGGCTTGCTATATATGTAAATTCAATCCGTAGAGAATGCTGTTTTCATGTCTCGTAATTTTTTTCTTTCGCTCTCCCTCTCTCTTTTTCTCAATCACTGCCATGATTACTTAAGTTGATTTCTAGATATTTTGCATATGCACTCTTTCTGGGTATCGGCATGATATACATCTAGCTTTAATGGCATGAGGATGATATCTGTAAAATACATTTATACCCAATATACTAAAAATAGGCCTACAAAATAACTTTGTTCACTTTCTTGCTTATATATATATATATATATATATATACTGCAAATGAGTTCTTGTTAAATTATTTTTATGTATAAGCAATTAATATTGAAAACGTTTATTTATTATATTCAATTGTATGTTCTTGACAAGGAATAAAACAAAATTACTATAACAAATAAAAGTGTGTGTGCGTGTGTGTGTGTGTGTGTGAAAGAGAGAGAGAGAGAGATAGAGAGAGGGAGAGAGAGAGAGAGAGCGAGAGAGAGACAGAGAGAGAGACAGAGAGAAAAAGAAAGATTAAAAACTTATATCCGACAGATTCGTTATTTCATGGACCTACGTTTTAGGTTCCATGCAAGAGAGGAAGTGGTGAAATATTTTTTCAAGCAAATTATACATTGTAAGGAAGGTTGTAGCCTCGTACTCGTAGCAATCTCTACGCAAGAATTTGAATTATTGACTGAGAAAGATATTTAGAAAAAGAGAAGTGGAAGGGAAATAAATGAAGAATAGTGGAGAAAGACGGGGTAAAATATAAATGTATTCCTGATCCTTTACCCTTCCAAAACATAATAATGAAGAAAAAAATGCTCTATTGTCCCGGATTCTACTAGAGGGGATCTCTAACATAATATTAAATCCACCACTGAAAGCCTAAATGAGTCGCCCTCTATAGAAAAAAAAAAAATGATGAATACCGCCATGAAGTTCAAAGGTGCTTATACGCCGCGCGTGATCTCTGTGGGAAAACCCACTTCTATTTATATGCACAAACTGCATTATATTCACAGGATATCTCCTCAAGTGTGATTTTACTATTATAACCATACTTGTATTCAGGTAGACATTGTGAATAGATAATTGATAATAGTACTTTTGATCAAAGTTAGGCTCACCACTTTCGACACATATTTTAAAGTAACGTGAGAACTTGGTAGGACGCACCTGTTGCGAAAACTTCGGATATTGGTAAAATCTACTACGTCAAAGCATAGAGTTTGTGCTTACATGAACTGATTTTGGCTTCTAGTACAAGTTAGCTGATCACACTTTTAAGTTGTATTGGTTATTGGATATATGCGTAGATTGAGCTCGTGTTTGTAATAAGTCAGAAAGCCGATATTTGTACCATGGCTGAGAAGACTGAGGAAGAGAAAGCTCCAAGCTCTTCACACAACCTGACGTGTCCACTATGTCTTGATATCTTTGACGAAGCAACCATCCTGACTTCATGCGGACACACCTTCTGTCGGAAATGTCTCAAGAACTATGACCTGTCCCACCAGGATCTCGATCACATGCTCTGTCCTCTTTGCAGGAAGATCACCAAGTTGTCTGCGAAGCGTGTCGATGATTTCCTCACCAACGTCACTGTCAACGGACTTGTAGACGATTATCACGCCAAGTGTGGAGGAATGAACGCTGTCCTTGAGATGCGTCCAAAATGCACTGCTTGCAAGTTTCAGCAAGATGCCGTCTCATTCTGCTGTACATGTAATAACTACATTTGTAATAAGTGTCTGGATTGTCATCAACATCTTACAGTCTTTGAAGATCACGAGATTGTATCCACACAGGATATCATCAACGGGAAGGCCAGTATTGGTCATCTACCCGAGAAGTGCTGCATCCACAAACAAGAGAACAAAGATATGTTTTGTGAGGATTGTAAGGTCCATGTCTGTCACAAGTGCGTGATCGTCGGTCATCAATATCACAGCATCAAGAATCAGGCTGACTTCGAGCAGCAGTTACGTCTTAAGGTAAGTGGGTTCATTTAACAAAAGATAATTGCGTTTGGTTAAGGCCTGACAAGACAATAGTGGTACTCATATAATTCGGATAGGGGAAGGTATCATAGGCACCGGAGGAGGGGGGAGGCAGAGTGGTTTGATGTCCCCGCATTATTAAAGTGGGGGACAAAATTGATTTCAGCCCTCTGGGGCCCCCTCGCATCTAAAGCGTTCAAGTGCTCTGAAAAGTAACTTTTCACCATCCTAAAATCAAAATTTCCCCCACTCAGTCCTTACGCTCCCTCGAATATTTATAGTCCCGGTGTTTGTTATGTTTGTAAACCCTGTCTTCAATATAAACACCGCTAGCATGGGAGAATATATTCCTATCTATCAGAGTGCTGGGGTAACCCCCTGCCCCTTGACAATAAAAATAAATTGCAGTTAAGCTTAATCAGTCGAAAATCCTCTAAAAATGTAAAGTTTAACCATTCCAAAATCTAAATTTTGTCAGATATTGGTCGCTACCCTCACTTACAAATTAATAAAATTAAGTGTAAGCCTATGGTTAAACTTTAGAAAAAAACCTCACAAGACAAATTGGCAACTCACTTATGAGTCTGTGACGTCATTGCATCACTATCCACTATTTTTTCCCGGTTAAATCATGAAAAATGTGAATTTTAATAAACTATTTATATAAAAATCAATAATCATGAATATACAATATCCAGAAAAAAGTATCAATTCTTCAAAGTTCATGAAATATTTTGTGAAATTTCATGCACACAAATCACTTAATCTGGACGAAGGCCTGGGAAAATCAAGTTATGGGGGATAAAAAGGGAAATTAATGGGATTAAAATAAATAAAGCAATTGTTAAATAGTGAGGACATGACGTCTGAGACTCATAACCAAATTGGCAATTTGTGTAGTGATTTCCATTGTTCCATAGTTTGTCATACTTTTTCAAAAATTCATAACTTGAATATGAGTTATCCGATTAAATAAAATCTATTAAATACAAATTATTTTTAGAGTGGACTTAGTCTTTAAAGGTATGTGCATACATTACGAAACTGGCTGAGGCATAGACTACATCTCATTCTAAAATGTGTTTTTTCCACTTCTCTATTATTTGTTTTGTTTAGGTGAACGACCTTGTCCAGCGTTGTGCCGCTAAGAAATCAGAACTGGAAAAAAACATTCAGAATGTGGAAGTACAACGCCACGAAGTATACAGTGCCGTGCAGAAACTACTGGACGATGTCAGTCAAGCTTACAGCATCAAGGCAAAAGTGCTTGAGGATAATCATCGAAATCTCATCGAGCAAATCAATGTAGTAAAGCGGAGTTTCGATGACGACCTCAACGTCTTGAAAACCAATGATCGACAGAGAATCAAGAGTATTTGTAGTTCAAGAACACTGGTGGCCAATGACAGACTGGGTCATCTTGAGACAGACAGTCTGTCTGCTCGTGCTTTGCTCTGTGAGGAGCTGGATGCCATGCTGAAGGAGGCTACTGATCACAATTCTGCGGCAGCCATTACGAAGAAAGCACAGAAGAAGAGGTTCAAGCCTGCAGATGATACTCGTCTTAACCTCGGGAGCATTTCAGAATCAGATCCCAACGTGCAAGTCATTCAGCGTGTAGATCTACGGGGATACATGTGGGGGATGACCCCGTACTCTGATGACAGTGTAGCTATCGGATATACTGGTGCACATGGTATAGATATCGTTGATTCAGCTGGTAAAACGCAGCAGTATGCAAACATACCAAGTAACATGAAGTGTTATGACCTTGTGTTTCAACAAAACAGGTCGTTATGCATTTCGACGAATAGAAAAATACACACATATTCTCCCTATGGATCCAGGAAATCAACCATCCCCTGTCCAAACAGCGTAGGCCTACACATACTAAACAGAAGTCCATCAGATGAAATCCTCATCGCCAGCAATCAAAAGCAAGTCCATATCTATGACCCGACTGGATCCACTCTCAAACACACTGTTCCAACAAAACACAACATTACGGGCCAGGTATCTGCTACCAGGTCGGGTTTGATCGTCACGAGTTCATGTCATCACTCCAGTCCAAGCGTGGTGATGGTCTATGACAGGGATGGGAATGCTGGTAAGTCTCTACAAGCTCCATCAGACAAAGTCTGCCTGTTTGCTGCCCTGGATGAGCAGGACAGGGTGTATGTAGCGAGTGTTGATTATGAGAGTGGTAATGTGGTGATCAGGCTCTATGACCTTGATGGTCTGAACCTGAAGGAAATAGTCGAGTTCAACTTACCCAATTTGACACTTGGTTCTGGTTGGTGTTACCTGGTTTCCCTCTCACCAGACGTGCTCGCGTTTGCTTCTCACAAAAAGTTGTATTTTATCAAAGTATCACTGTAATCCATCTCACACTCTACATTACCTTTATTGATGGATGGTGTATAAACATGTACCTCTCTGCTCCAGCACTTTTCTAATATGGGCCTTGTTTCATATTCTATTGTTTATTATGTGATAACTAAATGATTGAGATGATGCCGATTTTCTCAATAGATTTCGATTGCCTGTATACAGTTTTCATATTCCTCTCTCGAAATTGTATATAAATACATAAGATATACATATACTTCTTGCATTGTGTAATCATTTCTCTTTACTGAAAGCCAATGGTAGGATACCATAATAAATAACTTGAAAATTGATAAACATATCGATTAACTTCATATTAGTATTATTTTCCTTTCGTTGTTATCATCAAGTACTTAAAAGTTATTTTGTTGGTACTTATATTGTTTTAAGCGTATGTTGTTTTATTGTCTATCTTGCGCGATAGCTCAGTCGGTAGAGCAGTGGTCTCGTAATCCGGTGACCCGGGTTCGAAACCAAGGTGATGCGCTAGTGCCCTTTGGTAAGGCATTAATCCTCATTACCAGGTCCCTCGGAAATGACCTAAAGCCGTCGGCCGTCTGGTTGCTTACTTACAAGCATTTATGCTTTCTTAGCAGTCAGGTAAATTAACAACCACCACCAATAGAGAAACAATTAATAATTAATACTAACTTTGTAATTTGTAATTAGGACTCATTGTTAATTAGCGTTTTAGCTTTTACGGGTCACCCTGTCAAGTTATTGGTAGTATTATTTTGTTTTCGTTTTATAACATTATTTTACTCTTCATATGGATCGTACATTAAACTTGCCATAATACACCAATTCAATTTGTGTATAGCCTTGGAGGACCATGGAGAGACATTCGTAGTAACTTTGCTCCCTGTCTGAAAAGCCATTAAATTGCAAGCTCTGGGAACAGATGAGTTGGCTATGATATAGAGAAGAATAATGCATTAAGAAAGTTAGGCCTAGTTTAAGAGTCGGAAGTTCTGTTTCTTGACTAAACTTGCATCCTAAGGAATGTAAGAATATTATGATATCTTTGTAAACTTTTACTGCAATTCTGTTATAGTTAGTTATTTCACTTTGAATATTTCATGTATACAGTCTATCGATTTGCTACGTGGAATTTGAAATATCTTCATCTGTATTTTATGACATTAGAAAGAGAATGGGGTAAGAAAGGATTATGTTTATGACATGGTAAATTGTAGAAATGGTGAGATTAGTAAACACCCGGCCCCCCACTCCGGGGTCAGAGGAACCGCATGCGTGTTCCCAAAATATCCAGTAAAGGGGTACTTTTCACGCACCAAAGTCCGGCTCGTAGTTCACAAAAATCCGGCCCGTATTGACTTTACACACCGGACTTAGGGGGGTGTTTTCAAAAGGAGGGAACATGCATACGCGTACCCTAAATAACACTGAGTGGGGGGGGGGGGGGGATTAAACCCATACCTCTGATCATGCCAATATACATGCATGGCAAACCCAGGGATGATAATGGAGAAAACATAATTTTAATGTTTCCCCATCGATTGAAAAATTGCTTACCAGTTGATATACTTTTAAGAAAATGAGATCGACGACTTTAATTAGATCGACGACTTTAATGAGATCGACGACTTTAATGAGATCGACGACTTTTCTTGTATTACTTTAACGACCTGACTTGGGAACAATTTTCTTTCTCCCGGGTATTTTGTTTTAATTTTTGTTTAAATGTTGAGGGGGGGGGGGGTCTGATAACCGCATCTCGATGGGCAATTGTTGTTAGTTTATGTTTTTGCTGTAGTATAGTTATACAGCTTTTATTCAACATTTTGGGGTAAATGGGCATTATGCGTTGAAATAAACCGATTCGGAGATAACACTTGTACACAATATGACCCCTTATATTTTCCACATAGACACATCCCACTGTGTGCATTTTAGAATAATTACAGCTAATAAGATGGAGGTGCTGAACGATTACATTTTGTTTGTCCTCTTGCAAAGAAAAAAAAATGGTTACATAACTTTTATGAACACGTTTGACAGTTTGTACTGATGACCTTTTATCTGCCCATGCGCAGATAGTATCTCCGAAGTGGCTTATTGACCCGCCCTCATGGATATGTCCCCTTTTCTGGGGTCTCTGAAAAAATCACAACCCATTCCAGACCGAAAATTGTTTTAGCTTTTCGTCTTTTGAAAAGGTTTAGTCATATGTTTTTCTTTTAACTAGGCTGTTATTATGTGGTAAACGGTTTGTTTTAATTACCTGAGTTGGGGCCGAGGGGGGGGGGGGGGACGAGTCTAAAAACCAATACGACTATTTCGGGAAAGACTACTGGCCACTAATGCTGTTTTGTACAACGTTTTTTTTAAGTATCTTTAAAGGGAAATCCAACCTAGATATCAAACAACTCTATAGGAAAGGAGAAAAATCAGAGAAGTAGACTTGTGAAGGTTTGAATGAGGTTGCAATGGACAAAATGAAAAAGTTATGAATTTTTTAAAGTTATAATCACTATACCGGTAGATATGGGCTCTTCAAATTGGCTTAATCGGTAATGTCTCTGTGATGTAGTATCAGGCAACTTTCCAACACAAAATGACTATTACAACAAATGCCAACAATTATGACACAGGATGGTCTATTCTCTTAAAAGGGCCTATAACAATATGCTATCCATAGTGCCCCAAGGGAGAAGGCGCTTAGGCTAAAAACAGAAATATAATGATATTTTTGTACACGACAAACGGGAGAGTTATCAGTCCACTACGTCACAATCCACTGACCGATCTGCCCATTTGAGATACGCCTTCATGCAAGGGTTGGATAGCCCCTTAACATAATTATCGAAGTTCTTTTCTTGTTGGTATTTTCCTCGGTTGTTCTCTTTTTTTCTTAACTTAGAAAATAGTTGTAGAAAGTATGTACAGTGTCTTCGCTTTAAATGTAGCATCAACATGTTCATTTTACTTTGTGTATATATACAGTATATTATACTGGTTATAATTGCATGTGATATTGAAATCCGTAAAATAAATAATATTTTGTTATTACTGACTTTACTGTAAGCCTATCGAAATTAAAATTACAAGAAAAACACAATTTCTTCATATCAAAACTACTGATTTTATTTGTTTAGTCGTTATTGAGGTGATAAAAGAAATCCCGGGAAGAAATCTATCAATGCAATTAAAGGTGACGTAGAATTTGGCTATATTGAACCTTAAAGGCATTGTTTAACAATGTTTCCAGTTCTACATTATCTCAGATGCATGGCCCTACCCAGGGGCGGATCTAGCTTTTTGCTAAGGGGGGGGGTTTGACCAAAATAATGACGATGTGGAGCATCGTCCACGAGCCGCGAAGCGGCGAGCCGATTTTTTTGGGGGTGTTTATTTGAACCCCGTAAGTGATGTTTTCCTGGCATCTATTAACACAATGGAGACCATAAAAAGCAGTGCATGATAACGTCTTTTTAAATCAAGTAACAGTTTAATACATAGTTATATCCAGAGTTATCATGTGTTTGGTTAAGTTACCAGATGAGTTGAATATCTTCTCACAATATTTGCACTTGAAAGGGTTTCTCTCCAGCGTGCGTTCTTTTTTCTTTCTTTTTTTCTTTTTTTTTTCTTTTTTTTTTCCCTTTTTTTTGGGGGGGGGGGCGCCCAAGGGGGGGGGGGTTGCAACCCCCCCCCCCCCCCAACCCCCCCTCTAGATCCGCTTCTGCCCTACGTGTTATCAGAGTCTATGATATGGTGTAATATTTAAAAAAATTGCGCTTCAAAATGATCATGAAGTGCTTCAAAAAAATAAAAAATCTTTGAGTGACCGGTTTTTACCATAATCATTTCCTAAATAAACTGTAGTGGTATAAACAAAACTGTTCTTATAACTGTGTGGTAATCAGTTTTTTACATTTTTAATTCCAATTATAATATCTTGATAATCAGACAGGCGATCGGCTTGTAAAAGTCATGGGATTCCTGACTAACCTAAAGGTGTATATATATATATATATATATATGACTGTAATAAATACAAAAGTGAAATCACAACAGCTCTTATTTGATTTTAAATATACAGAATTAAAGAAAGCATTTCCGCAGTGTTAATGATTTTGAGCTTGAATGTGATATTTCGTATCTTATAGAAATAGAAAACAGGGGACAAAGTGGATGTTTTTGTTATGAAAGTGAGAGATTACTATCGTTTGTTAATACGTAAGAAGTCAACAGAACCAAATGTCATTTATTATTGGAATTCCTTTTGAGTTTTAGAAAATGACTTTGTTAAGAAGTATGTATTTTCATTCAAATTAAAGCAAGTTCGTAATAATAATGTTAAAAAAATTGATTTCAAGATGATTCACAGGTTTATTGCCTCAAAAGAAACTTATATAAATGGCAAATTGTGAAAAATTCTTTATGCAACTCTTGTGGACAAGTTGACTCAACGTTTCACTTTATGTTATATTGCAAGGAAGTGACTTTGTTTTGGAAAATAATATGTAATTTGATATTTAACTTATTCCAAATAGACATACCAATAAACCAAAGGATATTAGTTGTAGGTAAGGACATAGGAACAAGAAATATACTCTTCTGAATATTATTTTAAATTATGCGCAATATGCAATTTATAAATGTTACACTAAAAAGTTTGTTAATGGTACTGTTTAATACCCACATACTTTGTTTTTTTTAATTCAAGTCATTGCTAAGACTATTTTTAAGGTATGAATGTGTTAGCAAAGGAAATAATACTAAGCTGGAAGAATAAATAACTGTTAGCCTCTGTTATGTTTCACTCAATCATTGAGTAATTAATGTATTATGTATTGAAATTATGGAAATAAAAACTTCGCTTGAGGATAAGAGAGAGAGAAAAAAATGATTGCAGCATGAGCTAAGTCCAGGATTTTGTTGAGAATCTGAGGCAAAGATACCCAATCCCTTTAACATGCAGCTTTGATCACATTTCACGTCCATACGCTTTGAAAATCTCTCGCCACGATATCTCACACCGGACAGTAAAATGTTATATGGCAGTTTAGGTGTCCATAAGCTGTAAAATCTCTCGCCATGTTTCTTAATATGTTATATTTTTTGTATTTATGTTTTTATTGATAACCAAACATAGCAACATAAAACACAAAAATAACAGATAAATATTTTATACTTAATTATATACATTAATAGATAAAGTCAAATAACATGTATCATAGGGTCTCCTAATATGTATATTTATTTAAAAGGACATTCATTCATTTCGGTTTATTGTGTCAAAATTACTCATGTTAAAATAGTCGGGAGACTGATACAAACAAAGATAACACAGTTTAAAGAAATAAAGAGAAATTACAAATACATGTACACCAATATTGAAACGATCACAAATTAGTTCAAGGAATAAATTAACAATAATGATGATGGAAACTTCAATATATTGCACATCATACATGAAACAAATCAAATTTACATACATGGATGATTGGGGAAAAAGAAGATAAAAAAGAAAAAATGGACAAAGCATTTTATTTCCTTTTCTCGTAATTTTTAAATTTTGAGCATTTACATTTTAAACACAATTATTAAACATAAATTGATAGATAAAACGTGATAGTGATAATATCAGATTTACATGTTTTAAAAATAAACAACTCTAATAGCAAATATGAAGAAAGTTGGAAATTAAGAAATGAAATGGGCACCTGCAGAAGATATAAAGAAACAAGCGTGTGTAAATATTGTGTAAAAAATAACAAAATAATTAAAAGGAGTGTCTCATTCTGGCATTATTGTACTATATATGCTAAAGTTGAAATGGGTGCATAAACCATGTAAACGGAATAAAGTTGTTTCATCAAATCATTTATGTAGGAACATGAGTATTAAAAATATATATATATATTGAAGGAATTTAAGCCATGTGCATATTCAGGGCACATTTATATCTATCATGTTACTAAAAACACGGAGGCCTATATAGTAGGCATTCATGGGGTTAAAAGCTAAAGAGATTATTCAAAGGAATTCAATTAGGATTTCAAATCAAAAGACCATTTTTTGAAATGTAGTAATAACTTGTATTTTTTCTTAGTACTGTATGTTATATTTGGTATATACAGACTGTTATAAGACAATTAACCCCTGGACAATCACCCCGGGCCAATTACCAATCGGGCAATAACCCCTCCCCCCCCCCCCCCCCCCCGCCCCCCGGTAAATTATCACCCGAAGAACAATTCCCGCAACATTACCCCCCGGACGATTATCCCCCGAAAAAAAAAATCTGTTTTCATTAAAACCAACAAGTTATTATCAAGGTAGACTTCCACTATTGAATGAGGGGGGGGGGGGTCATTTTACGGGGGGTTAATTGTTCTCGGGGGTGGTTGTCCTTGGGGGTAATTTTTCGGGGGTAATTTTCCGGGGGTTATTGTCCTGGGGGGGGGGGCTTTTTCCGTTGTTGATTAAAAAAAAGAAACAGAGGACAAAGTTGATATTTTTGTTATGAAAGTGAGAGATTCGTTGCAAATCGGTAGAGCCCAATGTCATTTAAAATGCCCCCATCCTCCGGACTTCTACCAGGTTCATAATTTTAGATCTTATATTTTCATCATTATTTATGCCTCTTCTTTCTCCTCTATAATTCCTCCTCCTCCTCCTCCTTCTCTAGCCCCTTCTCCTCCTCTTAATTCTTCTTCTTCTTCCTTTTCTTCTTCTTCTTCTTCTTCTTCTTCTTCTTCTTCTTCTTCTTCTTCTTCTTATTCTTGTACTTATTATCATTTTTGTTATTATCATCATTTTTATCTTTAATAAGTTTTTTTCTTATTAATTGTGTACATGTAGCCCTCGAGCTTCATGGGTTATCATGTTCAAACTGACTTAATTTTGATCTGTTAATATTTTACAGTGTTATGTGTTGGAGGCTTGGTGAATAAAATCAATCAATCAATCAATCCAAAAATTCCATTTTCCTGAGCTCTATTTGTCTTTTCTACAAGTGCTTGTCGGTATTTTAGAAAATTCTACTAACATTGACTTAGCTATGCCTTTAATCACTTATCACCTTCGATCTTTTTCTTCTGAAGGAAATCAATTATTATTTTTTGTACACAATCTCTCAGTAGCGTTCCATACATCGATTGTTTTGATTTACGTTTCTGGACTGAGAAGAGCCGAGAGCATACATATAAAACCTCATATTTTGCTTCGCAATTGCAGCTGTCATCGAACGGAAAAGGCAAGGTATGTAAAATAGTCAAATGCTTAATTATACGTAGATCGTGAAGAATCAAATTGTGCTGCATTTGCTGTCGTAATATTGATTTATCGTAAAATATAAATCCTAGGGCTAGGATCTCGATGAGTGACGTGAGTTTGCACGGTACGGTACCGTACCGTACCGGTATTCGTGCGAAGTACCGTTGTCATGCCAGAACTCGGACACTGGCAGAAAAGGTCACACAACGCGCCTCCTTTCAGCATACGTAGCCTATACGCGTTAGCATGGAACGAATGCGCACTCCGAAGGCAATGAGTGGGGAGCCGAAGAGGCAGGCTTCGTGTGTATGCCAATGCGTTGAATGAAATCACGACAACAATCGCACAAAATGTGATCAATATTCATCAATTGCTCACCAAAACTCTTCTCTGTGTACTTTTTCACTCGTTTTCCGAGGTAAGTAACTTCTATATTCTATTTAATTTGTCTCTTTTGACAAAATACTGATCGTTTTTCAACATTTCACGATATTTCTGGAGCGATGAGGTGTTCGATGTTGATTGTCCCGCTGCAGAAGTCAAAATGGAGTTTTGCATTGACAAAATAACTACCTAAATGTGACCAACTACCTTAGAGCTGGCGCTATGCTATAATTCGCACAGTTCCAAATTGAAGCTTACCATACCGGTATCCTTAATTGATTGATTGTGATGGTTTGTGCTTTTATGATAGAAAGCAGGAAAATCCTGTCGATGCATGTATTATATTAGGGAAATTGATGTTATTTGCTGTTCGAGGCAGGATAACAAATATTAGATCTATTTATGCCCTCATAATAAACAAAATGTAATAAATGTAATAACCCTTAATATAATCAAAGTGACAAGGACGACGACGATGATGATGATAATGATGACAATGATGATTATGATGATTATAATGATAATGGTGATGACTATGGAGATTATGATGATGATGGTAATGATAATGGAGATGATGATGATGATGATGTTGGTGATGATGACGACGATGATGATGAAGATTAGAACTAATGACATAGCTAGGCCTATAAATGATTAAGATGGTGATTATAAAGATGACGATGACGATGATTATGATGATGATTATGATGAATATGATGATGATGAGGAGGAGGATTAAAATTGCTAATGCCGTAGGCCTACATATGAATAAAAGAAGATGATGAAGATTATGATGATGATGATGATGATGATAATTACCATGATGGGGATTATAATGGCTACTGACGTACATATGAATAAAAGAAGATGATGAAGATTATGATTATGATGATGATTATGAATATAATAATGACATGACTGAATATGAGACTAATATATTATAAGGATGAGTATGATTAGAATTGCTAATGAACGTGAATAAAAAAAAATATGATAAAGGTTATGATTATGATGATGATGATAAGCTGACGATGAGGCCTATCTTCATGATGATAAAATATTATTAATTTGAGAATGTAAATTATCACAATGACAATAAGAATGATGAGGATAACCATGTTGGTGGAGGAATAATTTTATTAGTATAGTGATTAGGATGGTGATGATATTGGTTTAAAAATAATCATGATGGAGTTCATGATCAATATAGACTTACATGTAATAAGAAATGTATACATGAAGTTTATGATACAAGCCAAAAGGAGTATGCTTATCAATTTTGTTAGAAAAAAAACATGTAAATAAGTAATGAACGATTAATTAATAATGCTTTCATAATAAACTAATTATTGCTTTTGCATATAGTTCCCTTCATCATGCCGAGGAGAACCTTTAAGGCCTGGAAGCTGGAGGATGTGGAGGCAGCCGTGAGGAGGGTGACATGGGGAGAGATCTCACTGAGAGCAGCCTCCAGACAGTATGGTGTCCCTCCCTCTACACTGCACGACAAGATCAGCGAGAAAACACCCATCAGGAGCAAACAGGGGCCAACCCCATACTTGACGGAAGCTGAGGAGAAACTCATCTGCGACTGGGCCATCCAAATGACGAGAGTGGGGCTTGGCCAAAGGAAGGATGACATCAAAAATGTAATTTATATGTTTTTGTTTGTTTGTCAATATCAATGAAATGTCACAAACTTCAGTAAAGTTTATATACATTTTTTAATACGTTCTTTTATTATAGGCTTGATATAGTTATGTTGAAGTATTGAAAACAAATAAGAACATGCAATATTTCCATCTGTACTCTCTACAGAAAGAAATATACCGATTTAATTATGATAATATAAATAATAATGATGACGATAACGATAACAACAATGATATGAATAATGATAACAATGATAATTGTAACGATGATAAAATGATAATGATAATAATTTTTTTATAATACTGACGAAACAATAATGATATTAATAATAGAAAACATACAAATTTGAATTTACTTAATAAGGCACATCAGGTAAAATGCTAGAATATTAAATTGTTTTAATTATTGTGTGTTTATTTCCTCTTTATTCCATAAAAGGTCGTAAAGAGCTTCCTTGAAAAGGATGGGCGAAAAACCCCATTCAAAGACAACAGGCCAGGGGACAGGTGGTTTGCGGCCTTCCTGAGGAGGAACCCTCGCCTTGTGTTCAGAAAGGCCCAGCCGATGGGGAAGGAGAGGGCCATTGTGACGCCAGAGAGAATAGAAAAATGGTTCTCAGACTTTGAGGAGTACCTAAAAGAGGTAAGTGTAATAGATAAGCTATTATAGTAGTATATAAAGCCAGGGCAAATAATCCAGTTACAAGAGAAACGATTGAATTATGCAAAGAGAAATAAATTCTTCTGGACAATTACTTTCATAGCGAGTTCTAAAATGTAACATTCTAAATAAAACAAATCAACTGGAAGTGAAGTATTTTTTCCAATGTACTTTAAACTATTTATTATTCATTTTTCTTGCAGGTGGGTGCTATGAGCTGTTTGTACGAGCCACGACGGCTCTTTAATTGCGACGAATCGGGATTTGCCATTGGCGGGAGGGCGGGAACAAGGGTACTGGCAGAAAAGGGCAGCAAGCTAGTCCACGAGCTGCGCAACACGGACAAGACGCAAGTGTCCGTCCTGGTGTCCCTCAACGCAGCGGGGGATGTCATGCCACCCCTCATCATCGTTCCGGCAAAGCGGACGGAGGTTTGTGGTCGATACATGGACGGTGCCCCAGATGATGCGATGTTTTCGGCTACAGAGAACGGCTGGATTGATTCCAAGTCATTTTTTTCTTTTGTCGCCAACATGTTTTACCCGTATATCCTAAGCAATAACATTCCACTCCCAGTCCTGCTTTTGGTAGATGGGCACTCTTCCCATCAGTCACCAGAAGTCCACCAATTCTGCAGCGACCATAACATCATTCTATACAGATTCCCACCCCATGCAACACATATCCTACAGCCGTGCGACGTATCATTTTTTAAATGCCTCAAAGCGGAATGGTATCTGGCGGAGAGAGCATTTAGGATAGAACATCCAGGATACTTTGTAACAAAGACAGGGTTTGCCGGAGCGTTCCGCCCTGCATGGGAGAAAGCTGTGAAGAAGCCCGGGGTCGTTGCCAACGGATTCCGAGCTGCCGGCCTGTATCCTTACACTCGACAATACATAAAGGAGCACGTGATGCCATCCTCTATCTACAGGCTAACGTCTTCTGTCACACCATCCACAGGTTTGGCACCAGTCCACCCATCACCAGCAGAGTCAGCAATACCATCTACCTCGGCAGGACTGCCATCATCATCTTGCGTTCCATCAATTTCGGCATTGCTGTCACCATCGTCGTTGCCACCATCAAGCTTGACAGCGCTACCATCCACTGAATCAACTATGCCTCCTCCTATGCCTCCTTCCTGTCAGTCTCCGTCTCGGCCGTCCACTTCCACATCACACTCGTCCTCGGCATCGGCAATGCCTCCATCTCGGCGGTCTACTTTTATAGTACTCTCCCCCTCGGCAACAGCAAAGCCTCCTTCTGGATGGTCTACGTCGCTAGGACTCTCCTCCTTGGCGTCAGCTATGCCTCCTTCCTGGCAGTCTCCGTCTCGGCCGTGTAATTCGACATCACTCTCATCCTCAGCTTCAGTGATGCCTCTTTCTCGGCCGTCTAGTTCGACATCGATCCCCTCCTCGGCATCAGGAATGCCTCCTTCCTGGCAGTCTCCGTCTCGGCCGTGTAATTCGACATCACTCTCATCCTCAGCTTCAGTGATGCCTCTTTCTCGGCCGTCTACGTCGATAGGGCTCTCCTCCTCGGCATCAGGAATGCCTCCTTCCTGGCAGTCTCCGTCTCGGCCGTGTAATTCGACATCACTCTCATCCTCAGCTTCAGTGATGCCTCTTTCTCGGCCGTCTACTTCGACATCGCTCCCCTCCTCGGCATCAGGAATGCCTCCTTCCTGGCAGTCTCCGTCTCGGCCATGTAATTCGACATCACTCTCATCCTCAGCTTCAGTGATGCCTCTTTCTCGGCCGTCTACTTCGACATCGCTCCCCTCCTCGGCATCAGGAATGCCTCCTTCCTGGCAGTCTCCGTCTCGGCCATGTAATTCGACATCACTCTCATCCTCAGCTTCAGTGATGCCTCTTTCTCGGCCGTCTACTTCGACATCGCTCCCCTCCTCGGCATCAGGAATGCCTCCTTCCTGGCAGTCTCCGTCTCGGTCATGTAATTCGACATCACTCTCATCCTCAGCTTCAGTGATGCCTCTTTCTCGGCCGTCTAGTTCGACATCGATCCCCTCCTCGGCATCAGGAATGCCTCCATCAAGGCTTCCTGCATCTTCGAGAGCAGTGCCTGCAGACTTTGTGTCCCCCGCTTTGCGCGAGTATGTACGCTTTCCCACTGTAGAGGTAAAGAAGGGGAAGCGTCGTCAGCAACTACCAGAGGCCATTTCTAGTGTTGCTTTCCATAATTATATCAAGGACAAAGAGGAAAAGCGAAAAGATGAGGAGAACAGAAAGAAGCTACGAAAAGAAGAGCGGCTGCGAATTAAA